TAACCTCAGCGGTATTAAAAGATTAAATTATTATGTAAGTCAATTCTCCTTAACCACTGTTTCTAATGAGAAAGGTGTCAAAATAGCTTTTGCTGCACATCATTCACCATTCCATCTCTTGTTTGATGAAATATATGTGTATATATGTATTTGCAGGACCTCCCTCTGTCCAGTATGGCTGTACACAAAGTATTAACACTGTACGTGAGCCAGTATTTTCTCATACGGGCAGGTATTATTTCCATAAGCTCTAACACTGAACTGTACAACACTGAAAATGCTAACACTGAATTTACAGGCTGTGGCCCTCTACTTACTTCGCTTGCCTGAAAACAGCTAGAAAGTCTCGCTGCTTCAAATGTAAAGAACGACAGAATTATCAGCCCTGCAGACCTGATTGTTAAGTGCCTGGCAGTCAATATTTGGACATAAGAATGTCGGTTTTGCCTAGATTTTTATTTAATTTATCCACAGAGGCTTGCAGGGACTTACGTTTGGAAAGAATTTTCTGGGCACTCCAGGCAGTACTTCATATAATTCTCATCAAGGGCACTAATGGATTTATTCGTTTGTTAGCGGAGCTACTCCACATGTTCAGTTGTGTAACGGAAGCTCCACACTAGCTCAGATGGGAGCTGGGGACTGGTGAGGGCAGCCCAGAGAAGAATCCAGCTGCGTTGTTCTCATCACTTGCAGAGTCAGGTCCTCCAAGGAGGCAGAATGTTTCAGCTTTAGAATTTCGGCCTTCACTGAGATATTTACCTGAGAATCCTAATGGTGCACATTCAGCTTCCGAAAACTGAAGGAAAGGCATATAGCTATAGCTAAACCAGAAATTAAAAGAATACAAATTATATTTGAAATAATTCTTACACTGCTTCTTAATGGAGGATGAGCACAGCCATAGATATTAAGGAATTTAGACAAGCTCGCTTTAAATAATTTATTTAACATTTCAGAAGATAATCCATCAGGAAGAGCAAGATCACTGAGTGGGTGGTCAGTCACTGAACAACTTTCAGGATCCAATTTCTTACCCCAGCGAAATAGCTCATCATCTCGGCATCTCCCTGCCATCCACCAAAAGGTTGGAGAGCAAGTGTTCAACTGGGAGACTCTTCTGGGAAGCAAGATGATAAGCTGTTTCAGTCTACACAAAGTAGCATCTGGCCTCAATGCATTTAAAAATCGTCTGTTTTGACTAGTATGTCTTACATGATAGGCTATCATGTCATGTTCTGGCACTAACAAAAGATGTGAACAATATGAAATGTCATGTTAGGCTAAAGATGCAAAAAATGTTGCAAAACTGCAAAAGATGCTGGCTTCATCAAAGCGACGTTTTCTATCAAAAAAATGCTTCAAGAAAAAGCTTTCTGAATACAGCTGATCTGGAGGGTGAGAGTGTATTTCTTTTTACAATAAAAAAGAGAAGCATTTTGAGAAACACGGTAGGACTTACATTTGTCTGGAGACAGGAGACACTGACCCAGTAACTCCCATTTTTATCTTTAGGCTTTACAGCTCCTGTCTCAAATTCTAGCCATCACAAAAAGGGACAAATCTGTCTTTTTGGTGCAAATAAAACTTTCACATATAGTTGCCAATAGCAATGCAGCAAGTCTAACGTTTGAAGGGGAGCTACTGAATTTAACGTTACCGAAACCTGACTAACTTTGAATTTGGTCTCTATCATTGCTTTATGAATACTGATCTGCTGCGCTTGGAAACAAGGGGGTAACTTTGTATTTGAGCTCTGCTCTCTGTAGGTGTAAGGTTGGCGTGGTAGACGGGCTCCTTAGTTTAGTGATACTATAATCTGATTAGTGCAGATTGCCTCCTGTACTGATTTATAAATAAGCCAAAATTATAATCACGGGGAAAGTCTTAATTGATTTCATTTAGTTTTACTTTTTTGAACTTTGTGCAGTTCTTATTTGATTCGTAATTCAAACATGTTTTTTATTCAGATACTCTCTTTTTAGAAATGATTTATAGTTCTTATTTCATGGTGATGTAAGCCCTGTGGTGTATTCATGACAGTATCTCATCTATGGCTGGATAGATGAGCACTGAGAAGTGCTCAGGCCTTTCAGGAATGACAGCAGTCAGTTTTAACATGAAGGAACTTTTACAGCATATCTTGGTATTTGGGTCTCTATTTTGAATCTGAAAAGATGTGTGTAATAAGAAAAACAAACTGGTTTGAGGCAGGGGAATTATTTGGGGTGAATTCAAACTGTGCCGGAGGAGGAGGGGAACTTCTTCGTCTGAAATAAGTGATGCTTTCATTGTGGTCTGTCTTTCGAACTACCAAAATGTCAGATCAAACTAAACACAAGTTTTTCCCCCCTCTCTGCCTTTATGTTCAATCCCTAACTCTTTTAGAGGAGTCATCAGTCCAAACGAGGGACAGCAGACAATTCGTGTCTAAGTTTTGTGGTTTCTTCCAGGCCAGGTGACAAGTGATCCCATATGAAGCGTTTATCCTATGAACTGCGAGCAAAGCTTGGGCCATCTCATGTTTGATTCAGTAAAGCATTTTCCATCATAACATTACACTTAGAGGTGCAATTACAAGTTCTGCAGGATCCTAGATTTACTTTAAAGCGTGCTAGAGACCTTTTTAAAGAAAACACAGTTTCTACCCACATGATTACAGGAGGAGGGAAAATCATTCCTCTTTTTACCAGCCCTACAGCCTACACACAGTGAGAGCATCTGCAAGTCTGGGAGAGGTCCTGGTCCCCCTTTCAAGTCCTAGCAGATGAGTAACCATTTTCCTCCCCGTCTTGAAGCGTGCCTTTAAAAAAAAGACACCAAATGGTATCCTCCCGTTTTAGCAACACTGCTGGCTCATCTGGGAGGAGGGATTCTCACACTGGTTGGTGGTGGCGCACGGACTTCGCAGAGATATCTTGGTACCCGAGAAGGAAGGGTCAAAGATACACACGCACAAACACACATGCACAGAGAGCAGTCTCCTGTTCTTCAGAAAGGAAGCAAAATTCCTCCTGATAATGAAAGACTTGAAGGAAATGGCATAATATTTTCCACAATAGAAAAAAATGTATATTAATAAGGATCCCATATTCCTTGCTGCAGTTTTCTGGACAGAAATATATTTGATTGTGGACGATGGCAGAGGTCCAGCACACCCAGAAACCATCGAACATGGTGCATAGATGATCAGTACATGGCTCTGGAGTCCAACAAGTCCCAAGCACATTGGGATCTATGTGTGATCTATTGATAGCTGACACGTGCTACACATTTTTTCTGTTCTGGGAAAATTTCCAGGGGGGAAAAAGGAACATACATGAAGTCCTGGTGGGATTATAACTCTCTATGTATGTATTTCACATGCTGGTAGCCGGTGCCTCACCTAGAGGGTGATACGTAGCCAAAAATGTTTACTGCCAGACGAAATGGACCTTCTGCTCTTTCCAGTAGCAGAAATTCCTGGGCAAGCTCCCAGAGGAGGTTATACCATGCCTATAACATGCCTCCTGTCAGCCCATCCTGTCTGTGCCATCCCAGAGACAACACACCCCTGAGCCGTGACACCCTCCTCTGCGCTGCCTTGTCGTTAACAGCCTTCATGGAGCCTTGCACAGATACCCCAGCGTCAGCAGGGAGCCAGGAGAGGCAGACGGCTTTGTGTTCAACATACGTGCGTTGAAAAAGATGCAATAATGGTCCGTAGCGCAGAGGCCCTGAAAGTCCCAACGCTGAAAGAGAAGTTAATGCTGTCTACAGGGATGTAGAGGTTGCCCTGTCATTCTCGTTTGCTGGGAGCTTGTCCTCACCTGTTTTAATGTAAGGACAACATAGCCAACTTTGTTAGTGCAAGTTGTTAGAGACTCTTAAAGCTCTCCTTGGACAGCAGCAATAGGAAAGAAATTCATTATGAAAATCTGAATCTTGGATCTGCCGCACACACTTTTCCCAAAGGTGGGATAATACCTAAGCATACCTACTGCTGGCACAACTGGTGGGGAGGCAGAACACAAATTGCAATTGTTTCATAACACTCAGGGACTTCCTTTGGAAAATACAAGTGATTCAACTTATTTGTGTGCAAGCTACATTTCCTCAGACATCTATCATGAGATTTTTTCTTCTGTTTTTAATTAATTGTGGCTAGATGATACTATCACAGAAAAAGGTTTTTTACCATTTGAGATATCATAGGTGTTGGTTGAATGGAAGAATTTGCCAAAATTACACCAATTAATTAACACCTTGGTGGCCTACAAAATTCACATGAGTTCACTGCAAGTAACACTTTGCATTTCAGCCTATGATGTAAATGTTGAGCACATACCTGTTTCAAAACTAAATGAAGCCTCCATTTTCCTGGCTACATGGAGGGAAGTATTTTCCAGGATTTGCAGTCTCAGTGACTATTTAACAGCTGCAGAAGTAGGCACAGAAAGTCAGACTAGTTCAAAGGTGCTGTGGGATGGGGAGGAGGCCAGCAGCTCTGGGGCACGGGCATGCAGCATTGATGCTAAACTTCAGCACTGGACCCCTGCTCCTCTACTTCAGCCATAAAATTATCTTTCTGAATATGTTGTATCAAATGACCAAATATATTGTAATGGTGTATTACATGCGAATGTCCAGAGTCTTCCTCATAGCCTTGCCTGGGTGTGAGGAGACAGACAGTCTGTAGAGGATAACAGAAATGATCAGGCATGTTTTATGTGCTATTCTATAATCAGTTTTTGAATAGTCAAGTTATTTTTTATGGTGTCTTATTTGCTGTAACTTGACAGGAATTAGATACGCAAAAGAATGACAGAAAACCTTGCAAAGCGTTACATCTACATTAGCCTACCTGTTTCAAGGTGCAAACCCTTGCTCTGCCTTCCCATAAACAACATCTGTCCCATCTTTTTCTTCGTATTTTCCTTTCTTTTATACGTTGAGTTCTTTTCATCGTTTCACCTTATCTTGCATTGTCAGGTTAATGTTCCCTTCACCTGTGTTCACAGAGAATGCAAACAAACTGGAAGAAAGTGCAAGAGGGATCTACATCCCTTGTCCAGAGCATTACAATGGCTTCTGCATGCATGGCAAGTGTGAGCACTCCACTAACATGCTGGAACCGTCTTGCAGGTAACCCTTCTCCTACCAAGGAGGAAAGGCTGCACCCGTGAAAACACTGACTTATAAAAACACCTAATCTAGATAAATATGGAAAATAATGGTAACCACGGCCCTTTGTGCTGCAAAACCTATTAGACTTAAATTATTTAACAAAAAGTCCCCTTTTGATGTGGCAAAAGTGTATTGAGTTATGCACAATGTTAATTGATCGTAAAAACATTTGGTAACCTTCAGTTATATTTAGGTATGTTTTAAAAAGCACTTCACAGCGTGCTGGGACAGCCTGGAGAGGAGTGCCACCAGGGCTATGTCCCTGCTGCGGCAGGAGCGGTGCTCGCGGGGCAGCGAGCTGGGGCGAAGGCAGCTGTGAAGGAGGTAGGGCAGGGAGGAGGAGCGATAGCAAAAGCACGCAAATGCCTCCCTGCAGAGGTAGGGATATTAATTCTGAAATCCAACCAGCGGCCTGCTGGCAAAGAAAAGGCCTGTTACACATGAAGCACCGTTTTCCTAGGACTTTGGTCCGGGAGAGCAAAGATACGGACCAGACTTATCCCCCAGGCAGCTGCTGCGTTTTAGGTTCTCCGTTCAGCTGGAAAATGTCCTTTCCTCAAGCTGCTGGCTGCTGTGGGAATGCAAGGGAGGAAAAGGGTGGAAGCTGAAGGCTTAGCCCATCAGGGCTAGTGCACCACTAACACTTCTGAGAGGAGCCCAAGCCATCTGGCTCAGTGTCTTATGCTTGCTGCTGCCCTTGACCTGGATTTTTGCATCTTCTTGCTTGAGCTTTTTGGGGGGAACAGCAAAAGCACTGTTTGTTCCCCAAAATCACGGAGGGGAGATGTCAGGCTGCAGGATGGGAGCTGGTGAGCAGCACAGCAGGCGGCATTGGGGTGGATGGTTGCAGCATCAACAGAGGGCTTTTTATAGCAAGCAGACAAAATGTAAATGATGTATCCACTTGCAGGAACATCTAATCACATTTCATATGGAGCTTGGATGATTGCTTATCGCCTCCTTAGGGGTAATCTGCATAAAGAGCCACAACTAGATGGCTTTTCCCCTTCCCCCACCTCCCCGAAGAAAGGGAGAAATCTAAAATACGTTGTGCGAGGAACTAAATGGATTCTCATCACAATGTGCAAGTAATTCCACTTGATGCTGGATAAGTCCCAGTCCCCTGGGCACCTGCTGGCACTACTGCAGTGTCATTCACTCTCGCAGACCTTGGTGAAGCTGAGGACCTGAAGTCTTCCCTCTGAGAGGTCGAGGAGGCACCGGTGCTGTCCAGGGAACCCATACTGCAAAAAAACACATAAGCTTATGCTTAGGTCACTGTTGGTTTTTTTTTATTTTTATTTCAGATCTAATTTTTTTTTGCGTTCTTTGAAAGCAGCAGGTACAAATGGAAAAAATATTTTTTGTTTCAGATGTGATGCCGGTTATACTGGACAACACTGTGAAAAAAAGGACTACAGCGTTTTATATGTGGTTCCAGGTCCAGTGCGATTTCAGTATGTCTTAATAGCAGCTGTGATTGGAACCATCCAGATTGCTATCATCTGTGTTGTAGTCCTCTGTATTACAAGGTCAGTATCTCTGGTACTTTGCAATAGAAAAAGAAAAGACTTTTGTTTTTCCTACTTCGTGGGCTGATGATACAGATTTCTGCTACTGATAACAAATGCTGTTTAATTCACCAACAAACAGAAGATCTCGTCTGGTCCAGCCAGCTAGTGCTGCTTCATTATTATGGCTGAATTTTTACTTCCATCTTAATCGCACTTTAGGTAGCAGCGGTGCCTAGGGTAAATGAAGTTTCCTATTTTGTATTCAGATGCTTGGACAAACATTGTTCATATAAATAAGGGGAATATAAATACAGCAGCTGGATCAACACTTAATAAAACTAATCATATCTCCATCTGGTTTCCTCAAGGGCCCATTCCCTTAGTCCTAATCGGCCAAAGCATACAAACTTTTAAGCCTGTTTGCAATCCTGTTGATTAAATGATTTCATTAGGCTTGTATACATGTTCAAAGGTACCGCACCTGTTTAAGGTCTTCACTAGATGGTGGCACACCAAGCCATACATGATTTATTTATTTTTTCTTTAATGAGGAGGAAGGGTTTTTTTGAATGGAAATGACAGCCCCAGGGTAGTTCAGAATGAGAGGGGGAGATGCAGTCCTTCCCCTCCTACATGTGCTGCTCTACTTCCCCACTGAACTGTGTCACTGTCTCTGGGAGGGCTTGGGCTAAGTTCTGAACTTCAGACTTCTCTCAGAAATCACAAGGTTAAATTAATTCAGCTAGCAACACTGATAAATCTCTCTCTTAGAAATAAATTTATTCTAAAATACAAAAAAATAAAAGCCAGGTATCATACCTCTGTAGAAAATAAAATCTCTAACATATTTTAGTCCCTATGTTGCGCTACCTGGCTGGAAGACAAGTGTAGCATTTGTTCCTGGAAAAGACAAAAAAAAAAAAATCATAAATCATTCTCTGGCCTAAAGGCATAAAATGAAACCGTTTTGATGAAAGGTGGCTGCTTCTTTGTCCAAGCTGAGTCCATCAACTCAATGATAAATGCCTAATGAGGCTGTAGATGATGGTGGTATTCACAGAAGTAATTCAAACAACCAAAAATGTAGTACATAGTAAGAAAAAGAAGATGGTGTAGTAACTGATAATGGAGCAAATTCTCTATCATTTTGTCGAGTGACTCTAGTTTTGTCACCTTGACACAGTAACGCAGAGTCCTTTATATTGAAGAATGAAGACAGTGTGCTCTGAGTGATCTGGTACTGTAATGCAAATTACCCATCACAGTGTTTTCATACGTAGATGGTACCTTTTCCTGCACACTTTGTAACCAAGTTAATTTATGATCTTTTGACTTTTTTCTGTAATGCATGTAATTACTGCAGAGCATCCTCCATCCTAGCGTAATGATTCGAGATACATTTGCAAAAGTGTACTCTTAAGTGGCCTAAGAGAAATCCGCATGACAAGAGAGCATTGTGGCAGCATATGCATAAGTAATTGAGTTTTTGAAGTCATCGGCTTTGGAGAACCTGACTGTACTGGTTTGAACTCCGCACGCTGAACTCATGAAAGTGCTAAAACCACCCTACCAGGTTCCTGGGAGAAAGAAGGGAAACTTCACTCACTCAGAGGCCGCTGCGGCCAAATTCTTTGCTGCTCATTTCAGTGCAGCTTCACCTACTCAATTGATCAGATGAGTATGGTGCACTGTCTCCAAACCCTGCATTTGAGCCACGTAAGGCTACCATTGTAAATCTTGTAGCTGTCATTACTGTTGTTGCTTTTAAAATCATACCTGTACAGTGGTGCAGGTCTACAGGGTGTCCTCCGTTGCTGGAAGGCTCTGAGCAATTCCCAGGCACCTTCAGGGCCATGGATGCAGAGACACTTTAATCTGGATAAATGAGCTGTGCTGCTGCTGACAGGGGTGGTCTGCCCTTGCCCCTTCCCCTGGCTCCTGGGCACTCGGTCCTGCCAATGCTCTAGTGCCACCATTAGCATTTCTGTAGACACACAACAAACACGGTCAGGGGACGGATTCAGCTGAAAACTCAACCAACAAAACTGATGGTTTGTTTTTAAGCAGCTCGATTCCTTGATGAGGTTGGCCACCTGGCTACTCATCGCTAGTGCCAGCAATGGGAATAAGCAGCTGGGGTGGAGGAGCAGGGGATCAGAGGCTAAGAGGTATGGAGGGAAGGAGGTGGAGCACCAAGCCACTGAGTGCCCACGCGCGGGGACTTTTAGCTTAGAAGTAAGGCAAAAGAGAAGCAATGGTAGAGGTGAAGGAGGATGGTAAATAGTATAGGTACGGCCTAGTGTTATAATGATTCTCAGAAGTTTTCTTTACAGCTTTGCATTTTTAGTGCTTCCCTAACGTTTTGTCACAGCAGCTTATTTATGTGAAGAAATAACTTGATTAAAAATGAATGCATAATGTGTTTTACCTGCTATGAATCACATTGTGAGTAACTCAAGCTTGCAAGCAAGCTTCAATGGAGGGAGGGCAGGCAGTCTGTGCTCCAGTACCAAGTTTACATTGATATAACTGCCGTGTTCATAAATTAATGCATCCCACACACAGAGCACTACAAAGATCTTTTGATTAAAGAGTTAAGGACCAAGGAAAAGCTGTCACTCAATTTTAGCAGATGATTAAGTCTAAAAAGCTGGTTAAATGCCAACGCCCCTCTTAGGAAACCCAGACGCCCTTCAGACACAACCTACCTGTAAATGCAATAGCATTGCATTTAAGCAGTCGTGGTGTCAGCACTTGGCCCTTGGGCCTTTCCAAGCTTCCATCAATTGGTAGCGTAGTGTATTATGCAATTAAAACATGGGTGGTTTTGGTTAAAAAATCCTTTTTCCTCATCTTAATTGGAGTAATCTCCACATTTGAATCAATTTCTCTCAACCTTGGGCTAAGTGACTGTATAGATATTGTCAGTGCCAGTTTTGGGAGAGCGCCTGTGAGATGCTCATCTCCTTGCTTCCAGCTGGAGCAGTCAGTACCTACCGTTCTCTGGGAACGCACAGCTGCATCCCCTGGGATTGCTGACCATCCTGGTCATCCCCCAGCCACCTGGTACATCCATATTTCTTACAAAACCAATCTGGTTGTGCCCACTGTGGCTTCCCACGCCTGGTTTCCCAACCCTGCTTCGTACAGCTGAGCGCTGAGGCAAAGCAGGGCTGCACGTTCTGGTGTAAATCCTCATCCTCTGGGACTCGGGAGGAATCCCTGGTAGCTTGATCATCCCAGGTGGCTGCTGGCCCCTGCAGCAGGATTTAGCAACGCTGTCTCAGTGTGTCGAGGTGTCGGTGCTGCCTCCCGTGGAGTGTGGCAAGGTCCCGCTGTGCAGTCTCCGGCTGAATGGGCAGGAGAGGCCACCTGGGGACAGTCGGGGCTGGGAGGCTGTCAACATGCACATGACGTGTGGCTCGATGAATCGGCCCTGTGTTTGCTAACAACGGCTCCCTGACTCACTCAGAAAGTTTGATCGCCTTTTTAGGAACACGCAGTGAATAATGAGTTTGCCATGAAATCGCAAACCAGCTCAAGTCTGCATTAGTTTCATAATGAAAGCTCTGCCATGACCTCCGAGGGCGCTGGAGACGCAGGCTTATTTTTCCTGGAGTAGTGATAGCAGCCTACTTCACTGCTTCCAAGAAAGGAACGAGGCAAATACAGAGCACCGCCACACAGTTTCTCATGAGGGGGTGGTCCTGTTGGCTTAAAAGTGAGGCAAGTCAGGACAATCTGACCCATATTTTGTTAGACACTTAGGTAATTGTATTTCAGCATTTTGAAATGCTTCATAAGTCCTTTGCTCCTGCTCTTGTTTGTGATGCCTTTCAGTTGGCATCACAAAACTATAGCATCACTACCATTCAACGTGGAAAAAAAAAAGCCCTTTTTGATTTTAAGGGGTCAGTAAAAATTTATTTCACTCTATTTTGCTCTTAGTTATTTGACACAAAGCTGAAGGCAAGTGCTTTGAGCTCTCACTGTGCTGAGAGAGTGGGCTCTCCCGGGTGTATAACCCATAGGGATTCAGAAGGTGCAGCCGAAAGCCTCCCTGTAACAGAAATACAAGTTAGCCCAATGCAAAGGGATTTTTCTTCCATGTCAGTATGGTCTGGGGTCTCATGGGGCTTTCTGCCGTGCCGCTCCAAGTGGGTGTTTCAGTCTTTCTTGTGTAGCTGCCCATGTGGAGGGCAGAAAGAAGCACAGCCAGGCTGAAAACTCGTACTGGGCTTCAGCTAAAGAAAGAGGACAAAGGCATGGCCTACTTAGGAACAGCTTCTTCCTCCTCCTGTGCAAAATGTTAACTAGGTCACCTCGGGTAAAGGACCGTTTATATTGCTGGTTGGTTGTAGCTCACCATTTTCCTACTGGTACCACAAATGCACAAGGTGCAAACATTTTTAGAGGGCATTGGTCACCCTGCTGTGGTTCTGCTCGCCCATTAATTCCTGCCGTAACCCCCTTGGCTTTGAGCTGCTTAGAACTTCCCGCAGCCTCCCCCTGGGGCCAGACTTCTCCGTGCTGTCTGTCTAAGGGTGCCTTTCCACAGGAGGGAACCAGAAACACGCTATTATCTTTTCATTACTGGGAAACGCTTCATAGCAGCCCCCATAGCTGCTGCTGCTGAAGGTAAAAGGTTGAAACGTGCCCTTGCTGAGGAGCACCGTGAGGTCCTGAGACAGAAAAGATTTGCTTTTGCAGCCATCCAAAGGAAAGTAAGATTTTGGTCTTTCCAGTGCGATTGCTTTCCGCACTAAGCCAAGCAGCCGTGTGAAGAGCGTAGCGCTGTGCAGGCACCCGTAAGTAAAGTAGCTGCTCGCTAATGACCTGAGCATGGAGCATTTCCATGGAGACTAATAGGGATTGTGGACGCTTGGCTCCTCGGAAAGGCAGCCCCCGCATCCGCTTTGTAAATACTTCACAGACCCAGGACACCGAGCAGGTAAGCATGAGACAGTCCTGAATCTTCCACCTGTGCCTCGCGTTACTTAAAGATGAGGGATGCAGTCGCAACGCAGCGGAGCCACCACTGCTCACCAGTAAGGAGCAGGAGTCCTAAAATTTCCCTTTGTGTTTACAATATTGGGGGGGGGGTACCGTTGGCATTAGCCAGACCATTTCATTTCATTGAAAAGGAAACGCGCTGAGGGCCAGAGGATCCCTCTCTTGCCCTCACATCACCCGCTGTCCATGCCACCTCTCGAGCAGCCGCGTTGTTAAAAGCCTTGTGTTCTCACAACTCTCTTTTCCAGGAAATGTCCCAGGAGCAACAGAATCCACAGGCAGAAGCAAAACACAGGGCACTACAGTTCAGACAACACAACAAGAGCATCGACAAGGTTAATTTAAAGAGCGCATGTTTCCACAATGGCAAAACTAACTGCAGAGAGCTTGGACTACAAAATACAGTATTATAGACAAAAGATTAAGACAAGATCTACACATGTTGCCTTGCATTTGTGGTAATCTACACCAATGAGAACATGTACTACAGCTATATTTGATTATGTATGGATATATTTGAAATAGTATACATTGTCTTGATGTTTTTCTGTAATGTAAATAAACTATTTATATCACACAATATAGTTTTTTCTTTTTCATGTATTTGTTATATATAATAAATACTCAGTGATGAGAAAAAAATTGCCTTTCTTAAATTTGCTGTATCTCTTAGCTGTGTATAGTCTTGGGTTATTGTATATAGACACTAACAAATCTCTTCTTTTTTTTTTTCTTTTTCCAGTTCTAGTGGCAATTTTGAGTCTACTGAACTCAGTAGTAGGGTTTTGAGTTGGTCCAAGATCAGCGACAATTATGGATGTGGGAAAGGTGAAGAATAATTTAACCTACATTGAGGAGGGATAAAATATTTCAGATCCGGAGTCAACTACATTTCATCAGCCGCCTTCTCCCATACCATCTATCTTTACTCTCCCATAGCTTAGGAAGTCTTTGCCTCCTAAATTAAATCCTAACCGAAGGGGAAATGGAAATTATTGATAACCGCGATGGGATTGTTGGGGGTAATGTTTCGATTTGGGACGGAATTAGGTGTCTGTCAAGGTGAACCCTATGAGAATGCTTTGCGGAATCTCCAACTCTGGTCACTGGAGTGAGTGAAAATTGCTTCTTACTGTTGATTGAAAATTACAGGTTAAAAAAGTTAACAACATCATAACAGCTGAAATGCCAGCACCATTTGTACCTCATGAACATGCTGATACAATTTATTTTTTCAAAGAGAAGGTGAAAACCACTCAGAAAATACCTTATGAATAACTTTATGGGTGACCCTACTCCATTAAATGTAATGAACTCAAATGTTGGCTATACATCAGGAAAATAAGGGCATGTGTTTTGTCATATCCACATGATGGACAAGATGCAAAGTTATTTCCATGGTAGCTGAAAGTCTCCAAAACACATTTTTTCGAGAAGCTAATATTACTCTAGATTGTGCTATGAATGTTGAAGACAGCAGAGCATGGCTGAAGGACAGAGTGCAGTAACTTCACTCCTGCTGGATAACATCCACTCCACTAATTGACTTCCTGAGTACTACTCACACTAAATTACAGAATTGAACTAAGAAACCCTTTGTAACAGTATTCATTGTGCTGCTCCTTTCCAAAGAGACTTTGCCTAGGCAGAAAGTACCCATGACAAGAGTTAGGTGCATTTCTCACCGTCATCACCACGTAAGAAACTGCGTTTGGGTCAGAATCAGATCTGGGGATACTGGGATGATGGGTCATGAGCATGTTTCCATTTCCCACTTCAGCATCGGTCTGATCACTCACAACAGTCACCACCAACCCCACCAGTGACAGACCACCCGATCTGGCCTTCAGACACGGGTGAAGCAATACTTCCACTCTTAACACGGCTTTTGGTCGTGGCCCCCCCCCAAGCCTGCTTTGAAGTGAATCCATTGCATGATGTTCACATGGTCTCAGTTTTTGTCTTGTTCTGGGTTTCTTGGCTTTTTAAAGGTAATAAAAGGCTAATTGGCAAGAGCTGCTTCCAGGCACCTGGTCTGTGCTGATTGATGGGAGTGGGAGTGCGGTGCTTTCGCAGGCAGCGGCGCAGGCAGCGGCACAGACGACGGCGCATGGCAGCTCCCCGGCTCTGGGCTGCCGGCCCTGCAGGGACCATCTGCTTCCCAGAGCCGTGGGTGAGGGCGAGGGGGTAGTACAGCTGCTCCCTGCTCCTCGGCCCACGGCCCCAGCTCTCCTGTCATTGAGGCTTGTTTTCGAATCGGAAGAAGAGTGATGGAGCCGGGTAGGAGTGAGCAGCAGAGAGGAAGTGAGCGGGCGTGATCCTGGCCTGCTGGACCACAGCTCAAATCCACTTACAGTACTCCTCTGTCCCAATCCTTGCTGGTTTTGTCCCCCATGCCCAGGCTCAGCAGGGATGGTATGACATGGAGGGGAACCCAGGCCCAGCAGCACTGAGTTGTACAGGTTTGGTGGCACAAGGTCAAAAATCATATGTTAGCACATAACACAGCCACGTAGCAATAAACCTAATTAAAAAAAGGCAAGGCTTGGCCTGGCCTAAAATAGCAGAGTATCACTTAAAAGTGAAAACAGGAGTCCAACGCACAATCTCTAAACTTCCCAAAGTTGTTTGCGTTGCTTTTGTCATGCAGCGCTGCATTTAATCCCTAAACAACCTGTGTTTGTGGGGTGTCATTAGCTGCGGCCCCAGTCACAAAGCCTTCGCGCCTCCGAAAACCGGGCCAGCTTTTCTATCTGCTGCAGACCAGAGGGCAGGAAGGGGAAAATGATTTTGGTTTTAATAAACAGAGGACAGGTCCCAGCCAACATTAGACCTCTGGGGCTCTCAAGCTTAACCTTCAACATGCTGCTACGGGCTGACAGTCTGAAAATAATGGCGTGTTGGGGTTGTACGTACAGGAGTGGAGATTTCTACAGAAAACATTTGCAGAACTTGTACCAAATGCAGCAGCAAATTTGGAGACGTGGATTTGGGGTTGCTTTTCCTTTTCTGAAAGGACTGGAAAGTGCATTTGTTAGAGGCGTACGCTTACCTGAATGCGAGGTGTGAAAATCTTTAACTTCACAAAATGAAGGGAGGTGGGCTGGGTGCGTGAGGGCCCGGCTGGGTGAGGTGTTGGGTGGGGACGGCGCCTTGCACGGAGGCAGAGCCCAGCTTCTCCACTGGACTGGCGTGGAGGAGTGCTGACCTGTTGGCATGCATCTGCTCCTCTCTGCGCTCCTGCACCGGCAAGAGCAAGGCCCCTGGCAGTGCCCATGGGTGAGGGCTTGTTCCTTACCCCGAGGGCAGTAATTCATTCATTCTGGCTGTTTAGAGGCGCTTTTTTTTGTCATGGCACTGTGGCATCTGTAAATAACCTCAAATACCAGCACACACTTACTTTACAAACCACACAAGAGAAGACTTAGATGTACACCACCACTGACAAGCCCAGTAATGCCATGGTCAGCACAACGGCTTAAGGGCAACTCACGCCACCAGCGTCCCAACAGCCCACGGTCACTTGCTGGCTTGGCTGTTGCTTCACCCAGGCCAAAGCACTTGGTAAAAACAGGTAAAAATAGGGCTGCTGGCACAGCCATTCTCCAAGGCTTTTCCTCTCAGCCCGTAACATTTTTGGAGCAAGCAGCTGTGTGCTTCTTCTGTACATGATGCATTTAACACAACAGCATATTGACCTCGGTCCTCAAAATAAAGCCAGGCATGCTATCGGCACGCACTGAGCGCCGGTGAGCAGAGCTCACCTGCCCTGAAGGCCCCTCGATGAAGATTCCTCAGTGCCTTCAGCTGCAGGCAAACAAGCCTGCTGTGCCAGGTCCCAGCCCAGCTACCCCACAGCCCAACTGCAGGGAGGTGACACACGACTCTCACTGTCTCCCACCCCAGATTCTGCACTACAGGACAGGCACAGCTTCCATGCCTCTCCATCGCAGCGCTTTTCCTTAAAAAAGTCTGATCAGATGTTCATTATCATTTCCTTTCATCCAACAATAGTAAGACATGATTTACAGAATATGCTCATTGCAAGGATACTATTATTATTAAAAGGAGGCTGAACATTGTATGCTAGCTGCTGGCCCCCTTTACTTGCCTGCCTGCGCACGCTGAGGAGCCGTGATTACCTCAAATGAAAAGGCGCTGGGGCAGTTCCTCCTTGCTGCCGTAGCCATCAGGGTCTCACCTCCCTGGGCAGTGGGAGATCAGCTCAGTTCTCCAGCAGTTTACCAGGTGCCAGCCCGGAGAGCCGTGTGCCACAGGCAGGGACGCCTGCGCGCGTACATCCGCGATACCCCATGCACGGGTTAACCAAGGGGGTGGGTGGACGCGGGCAGAAGGTGGGCACCGAGTATCGCTGCCTCCTGTTTTCCAGAAGCAGCTCTCAAAAAGCCTCATCTTCAAAGAGCTCTCTAAAGCTGCTTTGAAAACAACATGATTAAAGGCTATCTTCCCTCTCATCCAACATCAGACACATCTCACGCCGCATCCTTGCTCTCACCCCTTATTATGCACGCGGCTTTTCCGCAGCTCCCAGTTTTGCGTCAGGCTGGAAGTTCCAACTCCGAATTAAAAGCAAAGTCCATCAAAGCAGGCGCCTCGCCTCGGCCAGCCTGCCCATTCTTTTATCTGCAGGTACGTGGCCGGGCCGGGGGGCTGGCAGGCGGCTGCAAGGTGTTCAGAGACATCAGCCCCGCAGGTTTGTAAGGCACTGGCGGAGAATGCCCGCGGCTGGTGGTGCTGGTGGGTGGTTTTCCCATAATAATAATCATCATCATCATCTATAGTTCTGGTCTGGATAGGCCACAACCTGGCAGACTGAGTCCGTGAAGTTGTGCTCTGACATGGGGGACAGAAGTCTCATTTTTGCCCCGGGACGCTGCACCCTGCCAGTGCCACCAAAGCAGCCTCTGCCAGCACCAACAGGCAGGAGGGGCAGGAGGGGACAGGAGGGGACAGGAGGGGCAGGCACACCCTTTAGGCTGACGCTTTGCCTTCAAATGCTTTTCATATTAGGTGGGCTTAATTTATTTTAGTTTCAGTTTAATTAACAGTTTTGATACAGCAGGAGGGCTGTTGAAAACAAAGATGCATTAAAAAAAAAAAGGCAAGCAGGATTTTTTTTAACTTTGTCCTTTTTTTTTCCCCCTGTATTTGATGTGAGCCACAAAGCAGTAAAATATTCTGCAGTCTCACACATCAGCCACCAAGCTGCATAATAAAAAAGCATGTGAGGAATCTGCTCTACAATGCTAACTAGGTGGCACCAGCCACAGCGCTGTGACTAAAACATGAGGCCCGTTCACCTCAGCCCAGGAGAAGCAGAGCCCCAGGCAGGAGCCTTGGTTTCAGTCCCTCTCCCCTTGGAGTTTCCCTGGGCCGTGGGGGCCGGTAGCCCTCGTGGCTGTTCCTCACCAAGGGCAAGGGGGACAAGAGGGGGGTTTCATCCCACCTGTGACCAAACCTCACAGACATAGGCATGACCCCAGCTGCTGCTGTCCTCCAGCTTGCTTTTCTGGGGTCACAGTGCCTTCACCCGTCACCGCCCCAACCTGAAATAAAAACGATTGGAAGGTGAAAAATGTTAAGAAAATGCAGTTACACCTCATAAACCTGCCGTGGGAGAAGCTTTAAAAGGGGCTTGCTTTACATCGGGTCACTCAGAAATGAAGTGTAATTATTCAGGATAAAATCCGGCTTCTAAATGCAAAGGCGCGCGGCAGAGCATCGCCCCGGCAGGGAAGAGGGGCAGCGGCGGGTTTTACGGCGAGGAGCTTTCAGCAGAACAGGGATGAGCCGAGAGGTGAGGAAGAGCCGTTTAATGTGACCTGAATTAGCAGCTATAGATAGCGCTTCCTGCATGTTTTACATTTTCAAATAAAAAGGATCTTCTTGTTTAATGGTTAATAAAAATGATTAGTGCTCCCAGGGCACAGATCCTGACAGACGCAGGCTGTGCTGGAGGGACCAGCTACAAGACACAAGAGAAGATGAAACCAATTTTTTTTTTTCCTGTGCAGTACCTCTCTATCAGCATTTGCAAGTTAATTTGTAACATAATTATATGTTGCTTCTGCCACAGAAGCGCAGCACATGTGACGGGCCAGCGGCCCACCACGGCCGGCGGCAGCC